TTCAGGTTTTGTTCACCTTTCTCTTTGGTGGTATTAATACATAATTCCAAATTAATTAGCAGTAATGTTTAGAAACCCCCGAGTTTTCCAGGTTAGTAACTCTTTAACCTCAGTAACACCAGAGAAAAGGTTAATACTGTACTTAAAAAGCTAAAACAAAGGATTTCCACCACCACTAACGTATGCTATGAAAATCTAGCAGTTAACTTTCTCAAATGGGCCAAACTGCGTAATGACTGACATTTGTCTTCTGTTCACTCATTCTCTGTGAGGGCTGAGGAGAGGGAAATGCATACCTTGTCCTCAGACGGCCTTTCTCTGTTTGGTTGGAAAGGCCTTGCCACGCTGTGAAACTGTTGTTAGTAAACCATTCTGATAGCTCCTCACATCTCTATTCAGTTAGAATTCTTAAGAAACCTAACTAAATAACTCCTGGTTATTACTTAAATTTATCATTCTACGGGACTAAGGATTAGAAACTTAAATGATCTGGTTTAGGTTTTTTGGAGGGAGGCAGGGAAGAGCTTGGAAGGAGACTTATATTTGAGAAGCAAAACAGTCTTTTTTTGTTTTGTTTTTAAACATTTCAGCAAGACACAACAATTTTCAAGTTTTGCCCACATTTGACCCTTTGAGGGCCCACACCTGCCGTGTGTCCGAGGCTGCAGGAGCACGCTCCAGTGCTCTGTCTTTGTCATTTCTGTGGCATGCCCTCGGCGCCTTCCTTGGTCTAGTCCCCTGTCCATTCACAGCCCAGTTTAACCCTATTTCCTCCTGACCGCCTGGGCCTCAGGACGCGCTCCTGCCTTTGAATTGCTCTGATGCTTTCTATGGGAACTTCTGTGGATTGCAGTCAGAAGGCCTGGTTTGTGGTACAACTCAGTCACTAAATGTTTCTGTAGGATAGTCACACTGCTTTTCAGGCCTCTTTGTCTCCTTGTCTGTGATGAGGGGATGGTAATATGCACCTGTTGATTTACCTCAGAGTTGAATGCGGTTCAATCGTCATGCTTGCAAAAGTGTGGTCCAAGAACCTACTGTCACTTCAACTTATTTTGCACTTTGTGTGTATGTGTATTACACATAAACTATGCGCAATACACACATGTATCATTTTTATAATCTCTATTACATGGCACTGCCTTTTTCAAAGTGTTTTCATGTACATCATCATACACAGGACTTACTGCATCCTACCAACTCTCGAGGCTCACCCTTACATTTTATAGATGTTTCATCTATACTAGACCATAAGTCAGTCAAAGGGCAGAATCTGTTTATAGCATCCACAAATTATAAAAATTTTATATTACTTTTCCAACTTTTAGACCCTGAGTAACATATTCACTGTTTTGTGTGCTTTTTCTTTGTGTAAAATACAATAATCCTGAGAGGCAAAAACATAAAACCACCACAAGAAAAATTACATGCAACTCCATAGCTTATCAATAACTACTGTAAACATGTAGACATCACTTTCTGTACTTTTTTCTATGAATGTCTATGTATGTATGTATGTGTATATATATATTTGAAGGTATCATAATGTATATATTTTATAATTGTTTTTCATAACCAACTACAAACATCTTTCACACGAATAACTATACTTCTACATCCCTTTATTCACTGTGTTGCTCCTATAATTTACAATCAACCCCATATTATAGGATTCTTAGGCTTGTTCAGATTCCCACCTTTATAAACAATGCTGCAAACAATATCTAATTTATAGTAAATCCTCCCTTTTGGGGAGTGTCTGGTTCAGCATTCATTCTTTTGGTAGCATAGATCTTCTTTTCCTTTGAAAAATGACCTTTCCCAACTCTCAGTTCATGTGGTTGAAGTGGGATAACACCCCACCTTATCCCAGGAAGGGGACACTTGGTACAGGCCTGTCCAGAATGACCAGTTATGAGATCAGGGCATGGGCATTTGAATTCAGTGAGGCCAAATGGAACTGACTCAAATACATTAAGAATATAAATCCTTATTTATCACATAAATTGCAAGTATCTTTTCTAGTTTTTCCTTTAATTTTGTGTGTGTTGCAGCTACCTGTCTCCTTTCTTCCTCCTTCCATCCTTCATCCTTTCTCCTCTTTCCTCCCTTCAGTGTACAATGGCACAATGTTTCATATAGCCTCTGTCTTTAAAGTCATGTTTAAGAAGTCTTTCCTCATATTACAATTATGTAAACATCCACCTACATTTTCTTCTAGCACTTTTATAGTTTTTTCCTTGTTAATCTTTTGTCAATTTAGAAATTTCTTTTGGTATATTGGGCCAGCTAAAGTTCTAATTTAATTATTTTCCCCAAATGCCTACCTAGTTGTTTCAACTTCATTTCTTAAATAATCTACCCTGTACAGTATCCCATTGCTTTATTTATCATAGTTTTGGCATCTGAATCACTGCCCTTTTACTCTTTTAAAAAATATTTCTAAAAATTTATTTACTCTTTAAAGTAGAGTTTATTTTTTAAAAGAGGTTTAGTTTTATCAAAAAAAATTAAACAGATAGTACAGAGTTCCCTTATACCCCCAAACAAATTTTCCCTATTGTATCTTACATTAGTATGGTACATTTGTTATGCTTAATGAACCAATACTTATATCTTCTATTAAGTACAGTCCATAGTTAATTTAGATTTCCTTAGTGTTAAGGAATAGATTACCTTCCCCCCATTCATATTCTGAAGCCCCAACTCCCAAAGTGACTATATTTGAAGACAGGGCCTTTACGGAGGTAGATAAGATTAGCTAAAGTCATAAGGGTGGGGCCCTCATCCCAGAGAACCGATGCCCTTAGAAGAGGAAGAGACACTAGGAGCACATAGAGAAAGGGCCATGTGAGGACACAGCAAGAAGGTGACCGTCTGCAAGTCAAGGAGAGAGGTCTCACCAGAAATCAACCCTGCAACAATGAATTTAATCTTGGACTTCTAGCCTTGAGAACTGTGAAAAAGTAAATTCTGTTGTTTAGTCCACCCAGTCTGTGGTATTTTGTTATGGCAGCCCTAGGAGACTAAAATACTTAGCTTATGCCTAATATTCTTCTCCTGTTCCAGGATCCCACCCAGGATCCCATACTCCAGTCTGCTGTCATGTCTCCTTAGGTTCCTCTTGGCTGTGGCAATTTCTCAGAATTTCCTTGTTGTTTTTAAGTCACATTGACAGTTTTTAGGAGTACTGGCTGAGTATTTTATAGGATGTCTCATTACTGAAAATTTTCTGATGTTTTTCTCATGATAAGACTGGGCTTATGGATTACTAAAATAAAGACCAAGATGTAAAATGTAATTTTCATTACATGAAATCAAGAGTCTATACAACTGCCCTGGCCAGTCTGCCTCAGCAGTTAGAGCTTTGGCTTGCGGACCAAAGAGTCGTGGGTTTGACTTTGGCCAAGGGCATGTACCTCAGTTGCGGTTCTTCCCCGGCCCTGGTTAGGGTCATGCAGGAGGCAACCAGTCGATGTATCTCTTTCAGGTCGATGTTTCTTTCTCTCCCCCTCACCCCTGCTCCCTTCCACTCTAAGCATAAATGGAAAACATATCCTTGGGTGAGGATTAAAAATAATAATAATAATAATAATAATAATAAGAGTATATAATAAGAGTATGTTGACCTTGATCCCCTTACTGAGACAGTGCTTGTCTGGTTTCTTTACTGCAAAATTACTTTCTTTTTTCATGCTTTCCATGTTGTATACTTTGGAAGATCACTATGTGAAGCCCACAACTAAGGAGTACGTAGTGACGCTTCTCTATTCTTTGTTAAAAAAATCCAAGAGTTCAGAATAATCATGGAAGTAGGGAGCAGACTGACAAACCTCAGAGGGACTGGGAGTGGGAGGGGTGAGAAGAGATAAACCAAAGAAGTTATATGCATATATGCATAACCAATTGACACGGACATTAGGCTGGGGAAGGCAGGAAGGGTTGGGAATGGGAAGGGGGGGATCAATGGGGAAAAAGGGGGGACATCTGTACTACTTTCAACAATAAAAAAAATTCACGGCTTTTAAAAAATTTTGTTTTTTATTATTGACAGTATTACAGACATCTTCCATTGTTCCCCCCTTTTACCCTCTCCATCCAGCCCCCACCCCACCCCAGGCCTTTACCACACTACTGTCTGTTTCTCATGGCTATTTTTGCTTTCATGTTTCTCTCCCTCCTTCTACTGGTATTATTATCATCTTATAAATCCTTACCTGAGGATATTTTTTTCCATTGATTTTTAGATAGAGTGGAAGGGAGGGAGGGAGAGAGAGAGATAAACATCAATGTGAGAGACACACATTGATTGGTTGCCCCTGCAGGACCTCAACCAGGGCTGGGGATTGAACCTGTAACCCAGGTACGTGTTCTTGATAGGAAATTGAACCTGAGACACTTCAGTCCATGGGCAGTGCTCTAACCCAAGCCAAACTGGCCAGGGCCTACTGGTATTTTTATTTGAATTATATTAGGTTTGTAGAATAATTTTGAGATTCTTTGGTTTTTGTTAAAAATTAAGCATTTTTGCCCTGGCCTGTTTGGCTCAGCAGTTAGAGTGTCGGCCCGCGGACCAATGAGTTGTGGGTTCGATTCCAGCCAAGGGCATGTACCTCGGTTGTGATTCGAAACCGAACCTGGTTGGGGTCGTACCGGAGGCAGCCACTCATTGTGTCCCTTTCACGTCAATGTTTCTCTCTCTCTCTCTCCCTCCCACTCCATCTGAACAAAAATGGAAAAACAGTCCTCGGATGAAGATAAAAAATGAAAAGAAAATTAAACATTTTAGGAATACAGAATACCTATTTATCTTTCTAATAGGTTGCAGTTTTCTTAATTAAAAAAATGTTTTTTAAGTGGTTATTTCAGAGAAGCTATGACTAATTTTTGTGCATTTACTCTGTATTTGGCCACAATACTGAATTTTTAGAAGTTTTGGTATGTAGCTTTGAATCTTACAGATTTGCAAGTAACTGGGTTTCCTCCACTCTATTTTACAGATAAGCAACTGAGGAGAAGCTACTGAAGTTATTTTACACTGAAGCCCGATTCCCAGTTCATAATCTAGGAAGCCTGGGAGTCTAACTATGACTGATACTTTTACACGTACTTTCGTTGCAAATAAAAAGTAAAGAGCAAAATAGTTTCTGGAGAATTTGGGTAACTGTTGACAAACATTTGGTACTTATTACAAATTTAAGAAAGTACAAATAACAAAAAAATCACAAGCTTTTAGATTCATTTCAAATAAATTAAGCAAAAGTAGCCATACAGAGAATAAAGACATTATCAATCTCAAATATCAAATATCACAACTATGCTCTTATTTGATTCTGAGTTCACTTTTGATACAGTTTTGCTTAAAAATTATGACCTATTCATATGATTCCCAGAATAAAAACTCAACTGAATGATTATTTTATTTCTATATTTTAACTATCAAAATGTAATATTTAGGTAAAAACCTCAAAAATTTTAATTTTTAGGACTTTTCTCCGTCACCAACATTCAAAGCTTCTTTAGGAATTAAAAAATTAAAAGTTTAATGTACCAGTACCTATAAAAAAAGAAGCATGAATCTTTTTCAACATGAAGTAGATAGTAGAGATGATAGTAATTCATAAAAACAGACAGACAGACAGAACCAGAGTGAGTTCAGAAATCAAAGTATGTATAAAAAAGCCTAGTAAAACAAGGTCCCTGGTGTTCCTCATGTCCAGCAGAGCAGTGTGGCACAGGGCAGAGACGACTGTGAGAAAGAGAAGAGGCTAAAAAGGAGAAAAAAGTCAAGGAGGAAAAGTAAAGATGAACTAAGACTCAAAATGGGAAACAAAAACAGCGACTTGAAGGAAGCAAAAAAAATAAAAATAAATAAACAGAAAGGCAGAAAGAAAAAAAAAGGCAAAAACTCAAAAGAAAGATTTAAAATTGACAGAAGAAAAATAGGAACAAAATTTTAAAAGTATTTGAACAAACAGAAATAAGCATAGGAAAATAGAGCATTAGGTAAACTAAACAAAGAGGAAAATGGACACTGGCCTTTTAAAAAAAACCAAAAGATAAAAACCTGTGGGTTTTCTTTTACCATTAACAAGGGAAAACCTCCTTTGTTCTGAACTTTGAACAAATGTTAATATTTTTCCTCAGTTTGGGGTTTTGAAAAGCCAGCTCTTAAAAATGACTTTTGTTTCCTTCGGTTAAAAAGAAAAAAGAAATCCTCATATTATAGTGTCTTTAATAAATGTTGAATATTGTTGGATTAAATGTGAAAGATATAATTTTCAAAATATCTTCAGCAACATGAGAATGTATTTCTCGGCTGTCTTGCCTATCTAACATACTTAACAGTCAGCAGGACACAGCTGGAAAGACTAAAAGCCTTTCTCGAATGAATGAGTAATATGCACTCTTACCCCTGCCCTTGGGTTAAACAACTGCTCAGCCAATTACATAGTCTATGGCCAGTGAACTAACAAAAAACCACAGGGAAGGTAGAGTTCCCAACCCAACAGGCCTGGTGAGCAGCTGGGTACATGGCTATCTGCCTGTCTCTGAAACAAATCCACACGCAGAGCAAACTTCCCTAAGGTGATAGAAACTTATTTCAGGGCAAACTACATGAGAGTAGAGTCAATAAAGAAGAGTTTTCTTCATTCAGAAGAAAAATGGCAGAAAAAGAGGTGACGTCAGGGACTGAAGAGAGGGCTTAGAATTAAAATAATCACCTTTCCAGGGTCAGCAACTCTGACAAGACCTATTTATGAAAATACCACATTGGTCTTCTGCAGCATTACTTATACTCCTCTGTAAAATGAACACACTAACTAGGACATCTGGTGGATAATAACATTCCTTCTTGCTTCATTTTATCACTACCTTAGAACTTAGCTAAAAGGGAGGAATGGAAGCAAAAATACTGATATTGCACGAGCTTATAATTCAATACTTTCCAAAGTGATCTTCTTTTGCTTTCTACTTAAATTATATTTATAATTGATGCTTCCCCCAACCCTTTTCTTTTCTGTACTAGTCTCAAGGGGGAAAAAAACCCCCACAATTTTATTAATGAGAAATTACTGTTCACTGTAAAAGTCAAATCTCAAAGTTAATTAATTTCAGAATTATGATAGATACGAACGTTAACCATTGCAACTCATTATGGGTCAGCTAAGAAAAGGTTGTAAGAACTATCAAACATTATAGAAATAGTATAAATTCCAATCATTATCTTGGTGGATCTATTGACAATAGTCAAATCCAGATAAATAAATTCTTAAAAATATCAATAACATTGCAAATGAGAACAACAAACCATTTATTGAGAACTGATTATTCCAGATATCCTGCTAAGTCCTTTAAAAATAGCATCTTGTTTGATCTACAAACTGACCCACCAGGAAGATACTATTATTATCCCCAGTTTACAAATTAATTAACAGGGTTAGAAAGGTTATATAATTTGCCCGAGATCACGCAGCCAGTAAATTTCCAAGCTGGGATTCAAATTCAGGTCTGACTCCAAATCCCATACTTATAACTACTCTACTATTTACATTCCTATGAAAAATGATGGGTAAATGTGGCAGGAAATTCTTGTTCAAGTTAAGCAAACTTTTAATTAACTTTTTGATTTTTAAGTCTTCAAATAATACAAGGATTATAATATTAGGGATATGGACTTAACATCTTCTGTGATTTAAAGAGGGATAGTCAATTTTTGACCAAGAATTAATAAAGTCCCGAAGTCACTTGTTTGGCATTATTATTAGTTTAAAACAACAACAGCACTACTTCATTTGAAAATATAAAAAAATATACAGGCTAGCACAGTTACAGAAATTGTTGCACTACAAAATCACAAGAGATAATGTCTTCAAAAACAAATAGAATTAAACTATTGACCCAAGCATGATTGACTATTTCTGAGTTCTCTGTGCCTCAGATTCTTCCCATGTACTTTGGGTATAAGAATAATATCTAGCTTATAGTTTAAAAAAGATGGAATGGTGCTTTGTAAATGTTCTGTAAAAGTTAGCTTCTTACTATAACTTTTATTTCTAGTAAAAAACAGCTCAAGCCCAATATTTTACCTATCATGGTCAACTGAATTATCTGTACACAAGAAACAGAACAATATTACATTTAATGTATTTTCTGCATTAATATAAGGAAGGAGAAGGGATAGTAATAATTCAAAATGGCGGGCAGTGGAAAGATTATTAATGAATGTCTTTGGGAAAGGATTTTGTGGTTTGCATTTATATGTGGCATCCTAGATGTCCTGGGAATTCACGTCATATAAAATAAAAGTAAGAGGTTGCCTACTCTATGACTTTGTTAATCCTCTGTGTTTTTGTTCAGTACCAGAGAGATGGAAAAAAGATCTCATCAAACTCCTCATAAAAACATTTATATATCTATAGCAGAAAATGGCAATCAAATATCCTAGATTTTGTTCTTTTTTATTCCTCATGCTACTTATTTTCCACATGTGATCTTTTCCATCACTTTGAAGGTAGGGGGTTTGTCTAAAGACTGATTATTTCCTTTTTGGCACTAGCACCGTAATTCAGGTAGCGGCCACCTGTTAAATAATGGGGCCTTTTTATTAATTCCATGGTCAATTGTCTAAGCTTTTTCCAGGTGTGGTTAACTAACAAAAAATAATTATAGCACATTATCCAGCCACTTAGGCTTTAAAAGTTAAAAATATGTGTTGAACAATAAAGGTCCAAATTGCTCGCCAGATATTATGCAGTATTATATTGCTACAACAAGTTAACAGTGAGGTGCTGACACAAGAATAGACAGAAAAATCCATGTAGGCTAATAAAGATGACTGAAAAATATACATAAGACCTTACTCTATCATAAAGGACACATTTAATATCAGTAGGGAAGCACAAGATTATCTAATTGTGGCAGCTAGCGATTTAGGGAAAAAAAAGTTATAATATTAATTTAATGCAGTACACCAAATCAATTCCATGTGGATTAAAGATGTCAAAATAAAGGAAAAACAAAACCATAAAAATACTAGAGAATGATATAACTAGGTATTTATATAATCCTGGGATTAAGAAGACATAAAGAATGACGCTGGGCAGAAACAAGGAAAAGACTGCCAGATTTGACAACGCAAAGTTAAAACTCCATGTTAAAAACAAAACAAAACAAAAACCTTCATAAACAAATTGTAAGGCAACGATGAGCTTGTAAAAATATTTCAAACAAAAAAATTATATCCTTAATATGTCAGAGCTTTTGTGAATCAAGAGATATATAATCATATTAGACTATACAATTAACCACAACCTCAACAAAATATAAATGGTCAATTAACATATTTTAAAAGTTCAACTGTACCAGTAAACAAAGAAACACATAATAATACAAAGTAGAAACTGACAAAGATTACTATATGTATCTCTGCTACTTCTCTGATATATTACAACACATACATGCTCACATAATACCTAGAGAAAGGAGAAACCAGCAAATTCATTCACTGCTGGTACAGGTATAAACGATTCAACTTTCTGGCATGCAATCTAGCAGAAATGTCATCAAAGGCAAACCTGAGCTGACAGAAATCAGAGTGGCTTATGGGAGGGGACTGGCTGGAGGGAACCTTCTGGGTGATAAAATGTTCTGTAGCTTGGTTTACATGGGTATATGCAAGTGTCAAAACTCATTAAAGTAAACAGATACAAACTGCATTTTCTTATATTTAAATTATACCTCAAAAATTAAAAAACAAACACTTGACTCAGCAGTTTTACCACTTCCTTTAGCCTAAGGAAATAACTGAATTTGCAAAATATTTAACTACTGGATTATTCACTGATAAAGGCTGATAATAAAAAATTGGATGAAATTTTCCATTCTTGGAAAAAGTGTAAATATAAATATATGAAGATAAATAAAAAATATTAATCATGATTATCTGTGGGATACAAAATTACTAGTGATTTTTTCCTTTCCTGTCATTTTTCAATATTTTATATATTGAACAAGTATTATAAACACAAATTAGGTTATTTGAAAAATCAGTATGACAAACAGTTTTAATTTCATCTAGTAAGTCTATAAAAAAAATGACATATTGTTTAAAACTGCCCTTGAAGAAACACAACCAACCGCATACAAGTTATACATCTTCATTCGCTA